CAGTTACTGAAGTGATAATAATGCTTTGTTGACTTCTGATTTAGTATACATTGCATATGAGTATTATGTACATTACTAAATTTTACAAGTTATAATTTAGTATACATTCACCGTTGGTAGTTCTAGTGTTAATGTAGATAAGTGGTCACATTAATATAGCCAGGAACTGTACTTCCAATCGAGCCTGTACAAATTTTCGAGACCCTGTTTGTAGAACGTGCTCACTTCTACTCCAGCATCCGAACCATTTCCCGAAACAAGTAACCGTACAGCCCATTCCGTCGGCCATTTTCTCCGGGCGCCTTTTCGCAATCGGGAGAAACGCAGTCGCAGATAACACGAACACCCTGTATATTATTCTGTTGTTTCACTTATCGAGGCCATAAAGGCGGGGCGTGAAACCGTTGCGGAAAAATTCCGCTGGTAGTTGGAAAAGGATCGAGATATCATTTCTCTGCGTTTCCGTGAACGCAGACCAGTGGTGGCCCGGCTGTAACACAGTTCTCCGTCGGGGCTTGTTTCGTCGCTGCCCTTTTGTTCCGATGGAAGTCGTCCCGCGTGCGTTCCGTTTGCCGTTGAAGCGAAACAATACGCCCAAGGCGTTATCCGATATGCGGGCGGTCGAGTCGGTCGATTCGATTTCTCGCTGGTTCTTTTCTGAACCGTTTCCCACATCTCGTTTCCGTCCTGAGGACCGTCGAGTTCTCGGTGCAGCGATGTAACTCTACGAATTCTATGAATTCTACGAATTTGCGTGGTAACTTTGCAAATTGTTAAACTGATCAGTTGACGAAGTTGTTATATATATTAGGTTGACTGATAAATGAATTCTATTTTTCTTTTTTAAATTTGTATCTATAGGTACGCGATATTTTATAATCAGTATTAATCTGTGACACGTATTTTTGTAAAAAACAATTTATTAGATAATATCTCGTTTGAAGAAAGCTATCAATCGTTACGGTGCATATTTTAAGCAACTGAAAATGGTTTTCCAAAAATAATGAGCTGCCTGGGATAAGATGAGTGCAATACAGTGGCCGTTTAATTTAGAAGAGTTTCTATTGAATTATAAAATGTAACAAACAGCATCTTTTCATAGGGCTTTTAATTTTGTAATATTCCTAGATGCATCAAATCTGCAGTCTAAATGTAAAGCACCATTCGATAACATTTCTGTTCACGTGTATATAAAGAATTGAACTGTAAGTCAACATTTGCTTGTCGTTTGCAATAGAACGTATTATTCCATACTAATCCATTGTCAAGACGAGAAGAATAGTTCCAAAGAAAACGTGAGAGCGCGTAGTTGGCCGGGACTATAGCGATTCAATTCGCATTGATTGAATAGTCAAATTGTAAATCACAGTTGGCAGTAAATCGCGGCCGTGACTTGTTCTTGCTGAAAGGAAAACTCGGACAATTGTCTGGATCGAAGCTCGCCGGTGAGTTCGCGTTTTCTTGTCACGTTCGCCTGTTCCGGTATTGAACTTTGAAACAGAACTAATAAAATCGAATCCACGAGGAATTGGAAAGGTAAATGGCGTGAGTTCACGAATATAAATGAAGGCGTGAAAGATCCGTATTATTAAGACCAAACAAAATTCGCCATTTTCTCTTCTATTCTTCTTTTATAGTGATTTTTATGTGGTTGCTTAGATCTTCGTACGATCAGTTTCTTCCCGTCTATTAGACTCATTCCTTTTATTTTCTCAAAAAGTAATAGACAACATTTATGCAATCACTTAATGTTTATAGTATATTTATGAAAAGTCAATATGAATATTACTTGTGCAATTATAAGACGTTTCATATATTTTAAAAACATTATATTAAAAGTAATTCAAAGTATTTCAATTAAGTGTAACAATACAACAGTATAATTAATAACTTAATGTTAAATGTCTTGTATACTAAATACTTGTAAAGCGAAATTGTTATAAACGAATCGTTGAAAATCGAAACCTTGATAGAACGTTCATAAATTGTTAATATACTTAATGATAAATGTCTTAAATATTAAAACATTTATTTTAATTTTTCATTCTTATTAAGACTACAATAATATCATAAAAAATTAATAATTCTTACAATTATAAATTCTTCATATTGTAAAAAAATTGTTGAAAATCAAAACGTTGATAATTCGTTATCGTGATGATAAAGCGCTCGATGGCGTTAATAGAAAATTTCGACGTCTCCAATAAATGAAGGATGGAAGTAACAGCCTGGTCTGATAATTTGCATTTTTATTGGAAAGTTCCCGTATCAGTAATCATTTCGGAATTCTAACAGGAAGTACGCGCCGAGCAATATCCTCGAGTAACTTGTGCTTCAAACTTTCTGATTGCTGTCTGCGAATAACCTTGACTGAGGGGTTTCGGCGTGGCGGGTTAAATTTAATGAAACGAGAAATAAGCTTTGAGTAATCAAGCAGACGATGTGACATAATATTATTAATGTAAATATGTACCCTACTAGAAGTAATCATATTCCACGATTAATTTTATGATAATTAGATCAGTATCTTGTGTCTTTCAGGATATTTGTGCGAGACATTCAAAGGAATGGAATACTAAAGAAAAATGCTTCTAATTTACAGATATTTATAGATTGTATTACAGATTACATTACACATTACAGAATAATGTATAGAAACTTTAGTCAAACAGAAATCTATTTACCCTATTAGGGTACATATTAACCAGAATCCAAATGAAATAAAAGAATCCATTAAACTTTATCAAACTTGGAACTTTGGAATCTACTTACATATTGTATGTGAAAGTAGAGTGCGGACGTTTATAGAAATATTATACAGACATTACAATTTTATGAATTGAAATTAAAGAAAAGCTTGTTACCTCGGTGAATGGTTTCATTCGGTAATGAAACAGATAAAGTTCGCGTTAAATTTGATTACTATTTCTAAATAATTGTGTTCAATATCTGTATTGTATTACTTCACGCCTATTTTTATTATTTTATTATTTTTCGACTAAATCCGTGTTTTTTGATTAACATTTCTATATTACTGTATTACATGTCGATGTTTTATTATTATTCCTCGAGAAATTTGATTCATCATTAAACTGCGATTTTTATGCATTTATATCGTGCTCTACTAAAATATTCCAACCTCCAAATCCGCGGTTCAATAAAAAATGAAACTTTTTCGCGAAAAAGTGGCAACAATACATCTTATTATAAAAAGTCAAGGTTCGTGAATTATTCTTCGACTGTCGCGTCGTAACAATTCGAGAAACAATGGGCCGAATGGATTGCACGGTCTCGTTTCAAGTCTCTCGTAAAAGATTCGCGTGTCCGCGAGAAAAAAGTGTGAGTAAAGGATCGCTTTATGCCCCGTAATAAGAAACTTCCCGTTTATGGAGTTCAGGATTAACCGTCTTCGTGAAGTCCTGCAACTCGAATTAAAACGCCAGCCGGCTGGTCTCTGTGAAATTTCAACCGAAGTTCTCCAAGCGATGACGTCCGTTCCTACCTCGAACGGTGAGAGTTTAGTTAAGAAAACAACTCGCCTAGAAGCTCTATCGCGTCTTCAAAGCCCAAAGATAAATCAGTAAGATGTTTCTTTCCGTTTACTTTATATTATGTACTTCGTCTTTGACGTCTTACAATTTCCTATTTCTCTATAATCCTTCAAAGATCTAAAAAAATTGTAAATAACTTTAGTTATGTTTAATTTTTTTCATATGAATGCATCTACTATTTTTTTCTATTCTGTGTGAGATATAGACGAAGGTTGTATGATTAATTTCTTTAATAATAACTAGACTGCGGATGTTTATGCAAATATCGATCTTTAAGTACTAACTTACAGATACCTACTAGAATCACACAGACATTTGTTTAGTGTAGGTATTAAAGTTTCTCTTGAGTTATAAATGACATAAAAAAGTCATTAAACTTTATTAAACTGTCTACTATATTGAATGTTAGATTGAATATGCTATAAATGCATAAAATCGGTAGTCTAATGATAACATTTTTCCTTTAATTCAATGAGTAATCAGATCCAGATTTTCGATCATGATTCAATAGACGTGTCATAATTAGACAGCGAACGTAAAAAATATAGCAAACTTGAAACTCTGATAAAGTTTAACACGACATTTATTATAATAATTTATATAATTAAATTACATTAATAATTTTGCATTATCATTATCACAGATTGTGATTAATATAGCAGTTTCACAGAACGCAAAAGTCACTACATCTCGTAAATAGTGTTGGGTCCACGATCAAAAAGTTTCCAACATGTTTGGTCTTTTATGAACACAAGGAGTTCGAACAGTTAAAGTCGAGTTTGATCTTGGCCAAGTATTCAACCGAAGATCGCGTTCAAGCTTTTCAAACAGTTGGATCAAACGTTTCAAACTTTAGGCTCCAGCTAATATAATCTTGTCTCCATTACTCCATGGTAACGACGGATGATGTCGGGGACAGGTTTTAGCTCCCGGGAGCCAATTTTGCCCACCGCTGATCTATATGAATATTCTTCTATCATCTGCAAGTGCTGAATCCCCATCCTCGAAGTAGCTCCCGCATATTATGGGACACTTTGTGTAATCATCACCAAAACAAGCCCGTATCGTCGAGCTGCAGCTCGCCATATCGTTCGATAGAGCGGCGTCGTGCATTCAGCCCTGCAATCCGACGGATTCGTTTGGAATCGATATGTTACGTCAGAGCGGGGGCAGAGGGACGGGCAGGAATCTCAAAAGATTTAGGTGCTCCCGAACTGTCTGGTTTTAATTCAGCCGTGGGAGAGGGGTGGGGGTGGAAGGGAAGCTTTTTGAGTTATTGCTCGAAAGAGATTGCTGCCTCCGTCGCTTTTATACCACGGCCCCGTAAATTCGCCGTGTTTTAAGGGTGGGACAACTGTTTAATTCTCATTCGAACAAACGGCCGCAATTTACCGGATAGGAGGAGCATTCGTTGACGGACACGTATTAATTCGTACAAATTGCTTGCAGGCTTTCTTAAAACCAGCCCGAAGGGGAGCGCGCAGGGAAATTACGGGCTGATGGATCTGGTGGCGGGGCTTCATTGGTTGCACGAGAACCTCGGCGCTTTTGGCGGCGACCCCGATCGACTGACGCTCTTTGGCCATGGAACCGGAGCCGCGCTCGCCAATTTTTTAGCCGTCTCACCCATGGCAAAAGGTAAAAAAAATGGACCCTTGTGTTTGTCCCGTGATACCGGGACGCCTTTTATTATTCGTCTGGTACCGCATGCCCATTTCCACGGTTTAATTCGCCCGGGAACCAGCTTTCAGAGGCTCTCTTCGTTGCTTTCAACGTTTCGCGTTTCTTTGCAGCAGGCAGTTACACAGGTCACATCTTTTATCAATGTGTAATGAGATTGTGATTCAATTGGAGGATAAGGGAAAGGAACAGAGAGTGTCCATTTGTAGTGATTTTACGGTTTCTAACCGGTTTTGTTGGTAAGAAATGTAACGACGAAGCCGTCGAGTCGCAAAGGGTTAAAGATAGAAATATCTACATGAGATAACGTTAATGATTTAGTGTGCTGGGTGAAAACAGTGGTGGATTAACGTATTGAAAATTAATTTATCTTAACGAGTCTGTTTGGTGACGTTGCTAACAATAATAATGATGATAAGGAGTGTTATATTGAACAATAGAAATACCGACGATAAACGTGTCCACTGCGTGGAATAACTATAAAACAACCCTGAAATTTTCAATTTTTATGTATGGTGGTTGAAATAATAACGAACCATTTTTTTATAGGGAATATAATGTATCCTTTTCTGGAGAAACATTATTTCTCAACACGATTTCATACATTGCATACTTGGTTTCTATTTTAATCACAATACATAAGAGTTGAATATTTTAGGGTGGTTTTATAGTTATGCCACGCACTGTATCTATTCTTTTTGGATCCTTAAACATGACAATATTTTGCAAATACTCAAATTTACAAATCAACTAACTTCATTTTCATATTACAGTAAAAGTTGTAAAAGATCTGACAGAATGCATTGCTGTAACATTTTAATCATCATTTTGACTGCTTTAGTAGTTCTAGTGTTTATGCTTCAGTTATTTACCTTTAAGTAGTATGTAAAAAAATAAGTAAATATGATTCAAACGGTTTCCTACATTAAAATATCCTATGTTGAAAAATATAAAGCTTTCTCGGACGTTTGAAAATGTTAATTAGGATAATTGAGCTAACAGGGGTTAGATTTCTGATTCGAAAGTTCTGTACTTCCAGTTTCCAACCATAAAACACGTTATACACCGTAAAATTATTAAAAATGGACATTACCTGTTCTTTTCTCTTACCCTTCATGTTATTTTGCCACACAATAGACGACCTACTACAGACAAACAGTAATGCACATAACGTTCGTTATTTACGCGTAGAATATACAAGCATGATATGATCATTTTATCCTAAGATACTCCGTGTTATGTTACCCGTAGCGACCCCCCTCAATTCCACTTGCAAGCCGTGCACAGTAACCATATTTCCCAGAATCTGACTTGAAAACATACACTGCACGAAAATGGCAAACTAGGAAACCAGACACCAAACATACGAGACTTACCCATAAAGGAAGGTTCATCAATTAGAAGAACCAGTTAAAGGAAAAAAAATGTTGAAACATGGCGGAAAATAACTAGGTACATACACTATCATCTAGAAACATTAGGACATCTGTTCTGTATGAAGAAAATATAATGCTTCGTGAAAATTATATAGCGTAGGCCACGTTTATTACTTCATAGTAGCATAAACATTGTTCACCAAGCTTTAAAAACCCCTGAAGAATATTTGTTTCAGACTTTATGCAATTTTTTAATACCTTGTAGTATTTACATGCATATTGGATAAGTGTCGTCATACTTATGGACGGGAGTGTACATATATTATTTTTCTATATAATCGCCATTGACTTTCACGAAGATGGTGTATCGTTGCAGCATCTTTTTTAAAACCTGCATCAAAAAAGCTTTCGTCAGTGACTTCAGCCAGTTTGTTACTCCTGTCATCAGTTCATCATCATTTCGACATGTGTGAGGCATACTGTGAAATCATAAGAAACTGAGACACGTCATTCGAAACAAAAGACGTGGAATATTGTCATCTGGGGTTGACAAAACATTTTTTATAATCACATTAAAGCTCTCTTGAAACCATGCTATACCTGATAACAACATTTTCGATCGAACTCCTAATAAGAGAGTAATCTTTACTGATCACGATTCGTGGTTCACCCTGAATAACGAGTGATGATATTAGAAACATAAGAGGTATTAAGTACCTTTACCCTAAATATAAAAAAATATTTTCTTTTGGTTTGAAAGGAAGAATTTAGGTCGTAAAAGATTAATTTCTGACCAGACCTTGAGGATGCGTTCAGTATTTTCGTTCCACACCGAAATCCGGTGCACGATGTTTCGATTCCATTTCACCTTCCTTGATGGTGGAGTTGTCTCGTGTCGTCATCGTAGATCCGAGTAAAAGGTGTCGGAACACACGCGTGGGACGGAGCTGGTCGAGGGTGGATATACCTGGAGGACGACGGTGTCATCATCGTCTCCGTTGTCGACGGCCACTAGAGACTTTAACAAGCTTCCTCGAGTGTAGCCTTCTCTAACCCCCCGCGACAGAGAATAAGGGCTACAGATGGGTAGGTAGGTTGGGGGGGGGGCGAAGGGTGAACGGAACGCAAGGTGGAAGACCCTCGCACCTCGTACAGTGTTTCTAGATTGCACCTCCATTCCGCTAACGAACCCACCTCGTGTCGTCCTTAATGCCCTTCCACAATGCGTTTTAGTCTCTCACCCTTACGCTCGGATTCACCCCTAATGCCACCCCCTTCTCTTCCCCCTCTTTGCCACGAGTATTCTTGTTGCAAGGTGACGAGTCGCAAAATTCTTGCGGCACTCGCGAAAACCACGCGCCGTCGCTGTTCCACCGGTATTTGTGGATGTAATTTTCAATGGAATTGTGATTTCAACCCCGGTTGAATGTCGGAGATCTCTGTAGTCGGCGGTGTTCAACCGCCTGCGCACCGCGTTCGCAGTATTTTACGGGTTAAGGATCGCACGGTGCGTTACTCGCGCATAGGGGTCTCTAATTATGAACGTTTGAATTATTTCCGTTGGTGTCAACGATATGAGAAAAATGGGGGGAGGGTTACGTGATTCTGAAACCTTGGAAGAGTATTTTCTCGTGGATGGAGGCGAGTCTTTGAACATTGTTTCAGACGTTTGGACTTCTTTAGGGTTTTATTTCTTTAGACGTTTGACAGTTCTTTTGGACACTTTCTTTTTCGTACCCGCAGTTGGAGTCTATATAGTTTTGAAAATCAATCTATAAAACCCTGTCCTTTAGTAGTCTTTTCATATCTCTAATAATAGTGGAAATAAGTTAGATATTCGTAACTATAATTGTTTGCCACCTTGTATATCATATGCCTATGTATATTCTTTATTCAGAAGATGTATCATAGAATTTCGAAAATATTTAATTTGGAACGGTATACTTTAGTGTATAAAGTGAAACAACACCTTCACCGCCAGACCAACCCCTATAACACAACCATAGCGTTATATTCTTGCCACTAACAATACAAAAACTGGATAACCCAATATTCACCAGTCCTCCTTTTTCAACCTTTAACCGCTAACGTAACAATATTTCCTTTAACGTGCGGTCTGTGAGACGCTAAACACGAAATAATTAAAACAAATATTATTTTCGTATTTGTTTATTGAATACAGTCATCTATAAGTGTGAAGTACAAAAAAAGTAGGAATACAATAATTCTTGTAAACAAATAAGTCTGTTACACTTCGAGCAGTCGTATTGAGTCTTCCGCTTTAGTTTTAGTGGACATCAATAACATGTAATCATTTTTTCTAAACGCTCTTCGACAGGAGAATTTTTTACATCGGATTTCTCGAGATTTCCATGAACACTGTTCTTTTATCACAGTAAATAAACGACAACTCACTTCGATGGCTTGTAAATGAGTTATTCATTTATACATATGATGCTCGAAAGTTAGAGGGCACCTCAGCACAGAATATACTTTGCATTAAACGAAATGAAACTTTGTATGATCGACGGTGTCGATTGGCAGACCGCACGTTAGCGGTTAAGGTTGATGTTCTCGAATTTTTTAAATATTCTGTTGTTAACCGTCCTCTTTTTAAAATGTCCCACCCAATAGATTAGCCTTTTATTTGTATGTGTGTGCTTCTTAATATTGCAGAGCTAGTTGAGAGGGTCGTTTTATTGGGCGGCTCGGCCCTGTCGCCCTGGGCGATCCAACGTGATCCACTGATGGTGAAGCGTCGCGTCGCCGATCACACCGGATGCCCTGGCGACGTTGAGTCCGACGACATCGCGCCGTGCCTTCGTCTGAGGAACCTGGATGAACTACTCGCGGTGCAGTTGGACCCGCCAAGATTCACTTCGGGATTTGCTCCCTTCATGGATGGAGCGGTCATGCCTCAGCCAGTTAATCAGGTATTAGGCGTTACTAAAAACTTTTTACATACGATATTGGATATATGTGTTGCATTCCTCTGTAATTTATTGATAAAAGGAATTATTGATAATGATTTGATAAAATGACTACTACCAAGTTTATTTTGCCCTAGATAGTGAGCAACACATATTTGCAATAATTATTCGTTTCAGTTAATTTTCTTGATATTAACAGTAAGAAAGGTGTACGTGATAACGTGTTCCATGTATTAGTGATGCAATAAATATTTCCAGTAGTGCATACTCTTAAACATTTTTCAGTCATAAAAAGAGATAATTACAGAGGAAGCGGGTTCTAAGGGAGGATTTTAACAATAAATTGGTATATTGAATGCAAAATTTTAAGTTGAAACGAATTACAAACTAGATTTCGTTGCTAATATTTTAACATAGGAAATGTTGGAGATTTGACACTTTGATTTTTTTACTTTTGTTCATTGATCGATAGACTGTAGTGTCGCCAGGCACAGTTGCCTATTTCGACTTTGCGGAACATCGTACGGCGCGACGTGTAAGCGATGAGTTCGTTAATTGAACCGACAACCGACTGACGGATGTCGTCCGGCAGGATCAGGATGGCTGGCCAACGAAACTCCCAGTATATTAAGTTCCGGCCACCCCTGTAGTCGTCGTTAATCACGCCAGCCACCGTCGAACGGAACGCGTCTTTTTCTGAAAACCGATCGAGCTGGTATCGCGGGACCAGGATTGCTTGTCGGCGAAACTTTTAATTAAAAGCCATAAACTATACGGTGTAATTGCAATTACTGATAGTCTCGCAATCGGAGCACCGCTCGGAATCGATAGTTGCTTCAACTTCTTCTTACGTTGACTCGACTGCGCCCCCGGGGCTCCGGGAATCAATTCATTAACACCAGTGGAAGCGAGCCCGTTCGATCGACGACCTCTGCTCTCACCGTAGAGACTTTTGGGCGTGACTGTGTCCTTTTGAAAAAATTATTCTTGTTTTTCATCGGCATTGTAAAGCCAGCTTTATCATTGGGTCAGCAGATACAGTGATGGAGTGCATAAACATCGAAAGGCCACTGACATACATAATTTTAAGAAAAGTTCTTTAAATAATTCTTTTGAATAATTTTTCCGTACCGATATATGGACAACTAAAAATGATATAAAACTTGTCTGAAGATTTTTTCGACATCTTTTTTACTTCACGAATTACAAGCGAATAAATAAAAGGAACGCTTCGGATAGAAAGGGTGGTTTCTCCCTTAAAGTCTAAAAGTAGCACCAACCATGTACGATAAAATTGTTGGGTTGGCCTCCTAAATAATTGAACAAGGTTATAGAAAAATCGGCGCGTATCACTTCACGAACATCCTTTGTGAAGCAAATGTATAGTAGGAAGAGACGAGGGGAGTACCGTCAGTTGGGGTAACTCTGACGCAGTCAAGGGTAACTTTGTCCCAAAGTCAGAAAATTATCATTTTCGATTTCGCAGCTCTTTTGCAGGTATTTCACTTTAGTAATTGTTAAATAACAATAGTATAGACTAATGGTATCAGTGTATCTCCTAATCTCCTAATAAAGCTAGTTGCAATATTAGCGAAAATTTGGAATGATTTTTCTAAAAAGACAGCTCACTCTCGATAACCTCGGCCGTGAGAATTCTTGCATGACGCCAAGCGATGAAAGTCTCGATAGTTGCTTTAACATTTTTTCGAATTTACAATCTCTGTTCTCTATTCAGAATTTCCAGCCGACCGCCTCCTCTTCGGGACTAATGCCGCTGATGCCTGGACCCGGCACCGAGTTCGCCAGCCTCGGAGACCGGGACCTGCTGCTCGGCTTGACGTCCGAGGAAGCTTGGGTGAACCTCACGGACGACGATATACAGGTAAACAAACGGTTTAGATTAAATAGGTCGAGGTAGTTTTATTTAGTTCACCTGGCTCCAGGTCCTTGTGCCTTCAGATCTGTTCGCTATAACTTATTCACATCCGCGAAGTTTATTCAATTTTCAATTAAAAGTTCGAGACGCGATGAAAGTTTCTTATTCGGGTGGCATATGTTTGAGAGATGATGTGCTGCGAAATAGGAGAATTGAAATGGAAATATTAAACGATTTGTAGTTAATTTTTGTAAATAAATTCTTCTATTGCAAAGAATCTGTGAAAACGATCTGTCAAAGAATCTTCTGGTCCTTGGCATGTCTGTTTTTTTATTGCTTAAACAAAATCACTCATTGCTCATGAAGAAGAAAAGACCAGATAAATATTAAAGCAACTAATTACACGTAATATACAAAACTTGAATGTCATCGGAATTTAATTGGAAAATGTCAACAGTCCATCCAGGAATATTATTTTTTCTACAACCCATTAATTACAATCCGTTGTAACTCCAAATTAAAAAAAAAAAGAACATGCAGCGCTTTCTTTAATTAACAGTCACGATGAAATTGGCAGGTTCGAGTGAAACGGTTGTAGTTTTTAAATTGCCGGGAATTATTTTTGATAGATACTGGATTTTAACGAGACGCAGGACATCCGGCACACTGGTAATTGACAAGAGGCCAATAAATTACTAATTACTAGGACTGTGTACACTGCAAAACGTAGCCATCGATCGTGTCGGGACATTATCGGCGATCCGATGGTCATGGTAGCCGGACACCTTGCGAAGCGTATTTCCGCAGCTCCTTGACAATTTGATAATGATCGGACGTTTCGTGGTTCCGGGCCGAATTGTTCATTTACATGCACATATCAGCTAGTTACGATTGGAAACTCGATCGATCCCGGTTGGACCTCAATTTCCACTAATTAGCGTCCGTCAGTTACCAGTTCCTAATCGGTATATAGTCCCTGGATACGTGTTAAGAAATTGAACTGTGAGAAGGAAATTCCTGATTTACGTTTCGTAAGGAGATGATAAGCTTACGCCTTAAATTTCAATGAAGCTGTTGCAGAAAAAATACATACGTACCGAGTAATCTTAAATTAGCAAGCATATTCTACAGGTCAAGACTGAAACGGAAGGTCTTCGTTTCGAAATTCTTCGTTTTTTTCAGAAACAATCACATTTATTTTGAAGGTCATATTGCATCACAACATTCGATCCGGATGTATTTATGATGTTATTAGTTTACATTTACTTTCTTATTCATTATTCATTTTGATTCCTTGTTAACTTTCTTTTTCAAGTTGTCACTTAGAACCTTTTACGCGAATCACCTGACTGTATTCCACCTGCCATTAGGTAGTTTGTATAAATTTCGAACATTCTCTTTATTTCACAATTCCAATCACTATAATGTCATCTAGTACATAAAAACATTTCACGGTATGGAATTCGTAAAGGAAGCTATATGTTGGCTGTACAGGGTGTCCCAAAATAATGGAAATTAATTCAATAGTTACTTGCTAGCTGCTTCTAAAAGCTCTAACAGAAAAAAAGGCACAACCTCGACCAACACTGAACATCACCAAAAGCTAAAGACCGATTAGCCATAACATTACTAACTCATCGATCCCCAAAGTCCACAACGCGTCGTAAAATGGAAGCTTTACGATCATCTCGAGTTTTTACGAGTCGTTCCTTAGAAACTCTGAAAGGAGTCACGACTGAGGAATCCATCTGTGATTACAGAACGGCTTGAACGAGACGAGGAGGGATCGTATCCTACGCACATACGTGCGTAACACCTATCGTTACCACCTTCACGAGATCTACTCGACCCTTCGGAACGAGTACACGGATTGGGAGAGGGGCGAGCAGAGTCCAATCGCCATTTGCGAGGGTCTACTGTCCCTTTTGGGCGACGGACAGGTCGCCGCGCCTCTTCTGAGGCTGGCGTTACTGCATTCGGCTGGCGGTGGACGTGGTTACTTCTTGCATTTCCAGCTGGGCGATCGACCGAGCCAGAAGGGCGAGGAGATCCCCTATCTCATGGGGATACCTCTTCTTCGCGGTGAGGTCGTGTCCGTTTTGTTCGCCTCGATCAACTACACTTCGCTCGATGAGAACCTGTCCAAACTGTTGGTCCACTACTTGGCGAACTTCGTGAGACGCGGGTGAGTTTCTTTTGTGTTCTTGTTTTTCTTATATATCGATCGGGATTACGTGCCAGTTGCTACGGCGGAGATGTTCGAAGCTTCGGATACGTTTGTAAATTGGATTTGCAGGGGATATATATGGAACGGAGTAGAACGGTGTTTGTGCAGTAATAATGTGCTACGAGAAGAGTTATGTTATCCTTTATTGGTAATTATTAGACTGTCGATTTTATTTGACTCTGACGAAAACGTGACGAAGTATTATATGTGGGTCAATCTGAATTGATAAAGTTTGTGGTTTATTGTCCATTTAGAAACAGTGAGCCCTTTAATTGAGAAACTTTTTAAATGGCACTGTTAAATATTGACTTGACATAAACTTTTACACTTTGTTTATAATTTATGTAAGTGTGTAAAACATAATCACGTAAAGGATATTATTATGACTTTATATTATTTTCTTGACTTAATGGAGTTGTTTGGAAAAAAGATAATTTTCATTTACAGAGGTGTGCAAATTATTACATTTGCTTGTAAAATAATTCGAGATATACGAACATTAGTTTTATTAGTTTCTACATTAACCCTTCAATGCCCAGACCCTTAAATCGTTATTTCATAATTATGTGATTGATAGGTATGTTGTATTTTGTTATTTTGAAGTCGAACATATCGATATTGTACCATCCCTAAAAATTTTGTTCTTATTTACTTTTGGAAGAAATACTTGACTTTCTACACGGATGCAACACTAGAAGTTAAGGGTTATGGGCAGCTCCTAAATTATAGTCAATAAACTTCCCCCTCCGTCTCTCCTTTTACAGTTTCGAAGAAATGATTCGTCTCATCTAAGGATCCTTTGCACCTTGTTTCATATTATTTCATGCCGTTGGCTTTGAAGTAACTACGAGGTTTGAGGCTATCTCAAGGGGGCAGCATAAGGCTATTCGATGTCCGAGTATAGAGACGGGTCAAATGAATTGTGGTGTTTGTAAAGGGGATCTCGCGAGGAATAGTCTTCTCCCGTTTGGTAAGCTCCTTCATTAGAAGGTTGATTTGAGTGCGGGCATATTCGCAAAGCGATTAGTTGGAGGACCTTGTTCCAGGGTAGAAATTCTTAGTTCATGATCCCATTTATTCACAGAAAAGGGTTCTTGGTTTAATTAGATGTGTATTCAGTAGATACAAAAGGACTAAGCTGAGAATTTTAAACCTTGTATATACAATTACAACTATATAAAACAAAACTTTCGCGTTTGCGTGAGATTATACTGGAATTGTAAGGATTGTATTAAATTGTTTAACGGTTTATCAGTTGATTCCGTTGTTTTCAGTTTGCGTTTCAATTCACGGTTTGTTATATTAATGGACGGTAATTAGTTAGTGAGCCTATGAAATACATTTATTTATTTGTAAATTATATGCATTCTGAAAATTCATTTAATTATTTCAGGAATTATTTAGAGTTTTGTATAGAGAAGCTAGAAACAAATATTGCTAACTGGAATACAGTCTTTTCATGGCAATTTGAATTGAAATTATCAAAAAAAAGCGATTACAATTGAATGGTACCTTAAGTCACAGATTTGTTGTATAATTTTAACGTATTCTAAAAAAAATATTATTTTGATTATAAAGGAGTACCTCATTTAGAGTAATACACAAAATTACAGAGCCGCAAACAAAAAACAATTTTTTGAACATTTTAATTGTACGGTTTAGTACAAGTTTCAACTTTATCAATATTGTAAACGTTTCGATAATATTTTCGGGATTTTCTCATTCAGAAATTCGGTGTTACGAAATTAATCTGTTCTCGTCGGATAAAGTAACTCCAGAGTGAAATATGTGTATAGAAATCAATCTGTTATTCCGTCGTCATTGAATCAAATTTTTACGGTCACAAATCATGAATAACGAATTTAATTGGACTTACAGTTGAGATGATTAGTCTCCCAGGCCAGTGCACAACGCAATTTCCATGCAAATACATTTCACCAGTTCAGCCATCGTCTCGAGCAATTGAACCTCGAATAAAATTGCATCCATGTGTAGAATCGTTAGGAATTCTGCTCTTTCTGTATCACGACGTACTGGAGGCTTCTCTAAAAATCCAAATATACACAAAAATGATAAGGATTTTATAGAAAGCAATAAAAATCGTTCAATTTTTATATGTACGTCCACACTAACATTTATTAGCCGTGCGAAATATTTCTGCACTTTTTTCAGTAAAATTCAGTCTGCATATTAAAAATAAAACAGAAATAAACTCAATCAGTGAAATATTCTGTCTGAAATATCAATGCCTTCTCTTCATTTTTTATTTCACTGCAGAATTCATTACGACAGAAGTTTGATGGTTTTAATGGAATCAAACCACCGATACATACGAGAACACCATCAACTGAGTTTTAATCTATTATGCACAGATCTAAATCATTTTTTTTTTTTGGAAAATGTGGTGAGTATATTTTCTGGTACTTCCACAAATACCACTATTTTTAACCCTCTATGGCCCGAATTTCTTTCGTGACTATACAAATTTTTAGGTAACGTGAAACCAACAAGTATCAATGTAATATTAGTCAAAATATTTTTAATATTTCTGTTTTGCAAATTAGCGAGAATTTCTGTTTCACTTTCTGAGAATGAGAATTGAAAAATATTTTTTTTGCAGGATAACTGATAATACTATGTATACGTAGATATAAAAGTAAACACCGCATATCAAATTCTTAATTAAATAATATTATATTAATAAAGGCGGATATTGTTCTTGCAACAACCCAGGAACGGCCCTGATGATTTAGTTAGAGTAACAGAAATTACATAAGGAAGGAAAGTAATCATAGTCTTCAGTTCTGTATATTTTTATTTCAATCTTCATACAACTGAATAAAAAATTATTCAAAAACTAGAACAACTCGGACTCCCTATTAAGAAACACGAAGACTTTTAACTTCACGATATATACAAATGATTCACAGACGAAGAAGAACAATAGAAAACTCTTCGTGTATTAGTCAATCGTGATCTGATTTTCCCCATGAAAATTTTCCGAACCATCTTATCAGTTAATGAAATAACGTTCAATTTAATTAACAAACGGGACGATATCAGCTTAATTGCAATTTTCTTTAATCAGAGAATGCGCCTCCAATCTTTGAGTATCTCCCGGTTGCCCCAGATTTTCTTCCCCGTCGTCGACTCCGCTTGAAATCGATCCTTCGGTCTTTGTTCTCTCCTGGCCTCGTATATATTTTTTTGATTCTTACGACCGACGACCGCGCAGCCGGTCGTTTTTCACGAAACTGGAGGGAGAATCCTGACTGCATCGGGCAGCTCACGACTGACAGATAGAAAACACACGAGACGCGATTGCATTCGTGTTCCGCGTGATATCGCCGGGACGCCTGGTGGGCTCAGAGAAAGCCGGGGCTGTCCAGTGGACTCAATTTCGAAACGCAATTTCCGGGGGCCGGGTATCTCGGTCTTCGCCCGCTATACAAATCGAGAAAAGGGAAACGACCGCAGCGCGACGGCCTTGGAATAATCAAACGAGAACGTGTATGTGACTTACAGTCCTGTCCACTGGACACTTACACAAATAAACATTGAATAAGAAAGAATTCGGGTAAACAGCTACTTAAATTACGAAATATACGAAATTTATCGTAATTTTGATATGGAAAGTTGGCTCCCAAATACTAAAAGGTTGAGAAACGCTGGTTTACGAGTTATTAAAGCTTGATGGACACCGTCTATGCTACGTTAATGAAGTAAAACATGTGGCCTAAAACATACAATTTTGAAGAAACATCACATTTGCTTCATATACACCACGAGTCCTAATACTTACGAGCGCTAGCGTGCCTGTTTTACTACTTAGTAAATTTATTTCAAGTACTGAAATTAATGTTAAATCGAATGTTAATTTGGCATAACTTCCAGTAACTCCTGAGACCAGATGGTAGTAGGCCTTTCTCCAAAGCTGCTCTTTTCCCTAGAGTAAGTTTGCTCGTGAAGGTACATAGCAAAGAGACTGGATCATATAAACATCATTACAAAATTGTCCGTAAAATTAATATCACAGTAAAATATAAACCAGGACCAACATCCTCTATTAATTAAACGCATATATTTTCGACGATTTATGACCTAAGAAACAAAATAAAGTGTGTCTGTGGCAGTCACCATGTGAAGACCACCTATCCCGAACCAACAAGAACAAAAATGCAATTTCCGACAATATTCTCGTGATCCCATCCCCTTAGTTTCATTCGGATCCCTGTAGGTCCGTTCGCGACAGAACTGTACCATCCAGTCGTCGCGCATAAAAACATCAAACGCTATACAGGGGATATACGACCAAGTCTAAATTTATACGTCGATCGTGTATCCGAGCCGATCGGTACGAATACAATTTCCATCCAAACCCCTCCCCCCTGAAAACCGTATCGGTGACAGCCGCGTATACATATACAGCATGCCCGTGGCTGGGATGTTTCAGGGATCCAAACGGCGCCAGCCCGCTGACATCGGGATCCGACGGGCTTCCGACCAGCCCGCCGTTCTGGGATTCGTACGATTCGATAAATCAGCTCTACCTGGAGGCCGGCCGTAGCACGGAAATGCGGTCGCATTACAGGGGCCACAAGATGTCCCTGTGGCTGAATCTGTTGCCCCAGCTCCATCGACCAGGCTACGAGATCAGCATGCGCCACCATCATCTGGCGGAGAGTCCGAGTCTTTACGAGGGCGCCGTACGTCCGCAGACAATGGCGCTGCCGCTTCCGGCCCCGCCGTTGCCGATGCCATCCCCTACCGAGCCGTCGTCCGTATCGACCGTCGCGATCTCGACCACCGAGTGTACACCGAACACCACAGTCGCCACCACCATGGCCACCACGCCCAGAACGCTTCAGCACTCGAACTTGGGCCCAGGGCCTAACAATCTTCTGCGAAAGTTAGCTTCCAGCCACTACCAAAGCTACACCACTGCTCTGACGGTCACCATAGCGGTGGGTGTGTTTCTGTTGCTGCTGAACATCCTGATCTTCGCCGGGATCTACCACCAGAGGGACAGGAACGCGTCAAGTGCCGCTGGCCTGTCCTCGGCGTTCGGCGACAAGAAGAAGGAGGAACTACTGGAGGCTGGTTGTTCCGGCATCGAAATGTCTTCCGGCAAACAAAGGCTGTCCACGTTGAATCTTATGGACTCTCCGCCCTCAAGTCCACCGCCCCATAAAGCGAAGCTGGTCCAGGAGCTGGAGCTACAGTTACAGGAGTTCCAGTGTTCACCGCCACCCGGCGGAGGGAAGAGGATACTAGAACCGCCATTGTACACGATGAGCCCCTGTGTCCAGAGAACCCGGACTCCGTCACCGTGTGTCGATGCTACCACTGCTAGGATGGACGACGATGACGATGACGGGGACAGCAGTGATGATGATAATGACGACGAGAACCTTCCGGAACCCCCGCCACCACCGAAGGTCCCGGCGCCGAACGTTGGACTGTCCTGTCCAGGGATTCTCAGGCAACCCGGCACACCTGGCAGCGCCAAGAAACGTGTTCAAATACAAGAGATCTCGGTCTGAGGGAGACTTCCGGGTGGTGTCCGTTTACCAATGGGTGATGCTGCGAGTTTCTCGTAGCGGTTCCTTCCGGTGGTCACTACTGCAGGCAGTGGTTGATTCAGCCACGGGAGAAGTTCGGTTCGATTAGGGATCGATAGGCTATTGATATCGGTGTCATACAGTTGTTATCGACGTGCCATGGATTTGAGATGTTGTTGAATTTTAGCTCGACGGAGACGCGCAGGCCTACGGTGCGCACCCGACGAACACACGACGAGGAAAGCTGCGGTTCGGCCTCGGATTGGAAGTACGGTTTCGCGTCGAGCGATTCGTGAACGACACGTTGAAAGATCATCTTTTTTCTTCGGGATGAAGTTTGTAATTACGGTTACTTAGAGTTTTGTTGGCAACTAGCTGAAGATTCTACTGTTGGAGAAATATCGTCATAGTGTGAATAAGACTTGAACTCTAAACCACGAATGTTCTGGAGACGTGAGTGACGGGTCGACGGGAACAAATATGGGCGGCAGGATAAGAGCACAGATCGACGGCCTTAAGAGAATTCGATACTCGTATGAAGCACTGTGTAGTCGTACGAGAAGATAGACGCTGTGAGTGCGTTTTAATTGGGTCTGTCAGGTTGTTGCACGATAAATTGGAGTTTCTCAATGTCGGTTTTTGTGAATTTTATTCAAGTAGGTGTATCTTAGCTTATCAATTTTTTTCTATGATTATTTAGGCAATACCAGGTTGTCTGTTTTTAAACTCTGGAGATTTTTCAAGTCCTTTTCGCATATTTATGATTTGCTAATATTTTTTCGAAATCAATTTTAAAAGAGACATATTGTTAAATCGCATACGTTTCAACAAAGAACTGAGTAACATTTACATTGTTTCTAACGATTAATCCATTTTTTTAAACGTTGGTCATATATTTGATAGGTAACAGTACATTATTCGTTAAACGCTAGCTCATGTGTTTAAATGTGGAAGTAATTCAGTCGATTCGAAAAGGAACGCAGCGGAGTTTTGTATTAAGTAAGTATTTAAATCCCTCATTTTTTTCCTAAATCCAAAATACTTAATCTTATAATTTATGTCAGTCAATACAGTTTATATTTTAGAAAAGGGCAGTTCCTAAAGAAAAGGGTCAAGGCAATCTCACTTGCAATATTAAATTTCCCAGAAAATTCGAGCCATTTTTTGGTTACAAATATACCAACTATTTTTCATTAACATGTTATTTTATGAAATGTCAAAAAAATGTCACTTTGTAAAATAATTGCCCCTCTTATATCTGGAAAAACTTTTATTCTGAAAAATGAAAGTAATAGAAAGAATATAAATATTTATCTAAACTTCCATACTGTTAACTTCATTGTATATTATTTATTTGCATTTTAAATTACAATAGTGTGGTAATCAAAAAATTCGTTTCATTATCATATGTAAAGTGGCATTAATTTTCAGGGTGATTTAATACTACGAGGACTAATAATCATGACTGGATTTTATTACCTCGCAAATTCCGTAATATTTTATAAATGACTCTACAATGTTCTGTTTCCATAACAAATTCTTAATATTAGATCTACCGTCGCTGAACACACACCTGTTTCTAGCAAAGTGATAAAACTCATACGTTCTCGAAGAAACTAATTATTTTATACATTAATGCATTGCAGTAAAAATTATTCAAGATTTCTATAATAACAAAACTACAAGCAAACACATCTTTAAAAACCAGATCGTGACTATTGGCCCACGTTTCCCAATATCTGCCGAAACTCAAAGAGAACAAAACCCAACGGCGTTCCTGACTGGGATTACCGACAATGATTGTTACCGATTATTTATCGCGCGCCAAATTGTTTCTTCGTTACCATCAAATCAAACGATAATTTTAACGGTCTCAGATTAACGATATCGGTTACCTTACTGACCTTATCGACCTATTGAAACCGTTCGAGAACTTATCCAGGGGAGGACTCTATACCTCATCCAACGACTCGAGTCAGCAATTATAAACAAAGGAAAGTGATGACTATGTAGGTGGGGCAGAATCATAGACAATTGACAGCCAATAGCTAGGCATAGCATATGAATGTTTTGATTATTTTTACTGACTCGTCTCGTCGGTCAGGGATTATAGATTTGGGATATCTGTGACGAAATACGTCGACCCATCACCTTCTTTCCAAGGTTCGGGGCAGGAAAGGTAGGTTGGAGTCGTTGAGGGTAGGTGGGGATGACTTTTATAGAGGACGGGGATATCGAGAACGCCAGTCTGATTGGTTGTCGAGCATCCTGTGGAAGAAATCCGAATCGTCGTCGGGGGCACGTCGCGACGCTCGACGCCGTGAAACTAGGGGATTGATATAATCTCAGGAACCCAAAAGACACAACGCGCCCAGGGAGGCCGGCCGCCTTTCACCGGGCTCCCTCTTATCCGGATTTGTCGGAGCACTAAGTGGAATTATTCGAGGAATTGGAAGGGTCTGACGTCGACTTTTGAGATGAAAGGAGGGGGAAAGTCGAACGATGGACTGGACCTGATCACGCGAGACAGCAGGTTTATGGGAGACGGAGCCTGCTAAGATGATGAATCGGTGAATCGTCGAAGTTCTTGTCAGTGTAATCGCGTGTGTCCTTAGTTGTTGGGTGTGTGCGAGATATGGAGGCTGATAGTCATCGTGGATTTCGTGTCGGTGAGCGGGGGAGGTGTGAAACGATGCATGGTGTGTGAGACGACGGACGGAGTTTGTTGTGTACATTGTATTCTATGTGGGAGACGCTTGGAACGCGATTGAGTGTCCGGGTCCATCCTAATTGTATTATTCTTTTCGTCTTGGAGGATGCTTGCAATGGCGGATCTGGGTGAACTTGGGTGAGTTTTTGGTGGATATTTGATGACATTATTATTGGGATCGTCTGACTTAAACGAGAGTATTTTAAGTGTCTTGTTTGAGAATGTACAAATAATAATGTTGTCTTCGACAATTTATGTTGATCTACATTTAATTCAGTATTTTAGAAATGTCGAAATAAATAAAAGGAACAACAAAATGAAAATTTAAGAGAAAGTAAACCTCAATAGTTGCAGAAAAGAAATATGAATTTTTAGTAAACATCAATTACAATATTAAATTTTTAACAAAAAATAAACACGAGAATTTAGTGCATTTTTTATTCACAACCTTGTGAATATAAAAAAGACTGGTTTCTTTATTTCTTGAACTACGTCAAAAATATGAAAATTCGTAAATGTTATATTACGTACGTGAAATCCGAAATTGTATTACATTTTTAGACTACAATTTTTGTTTGTGATATTATTATGTTCATTTCCCATAAAAGTGTCATAAAAAGAAAACAGTCAATGGAATCTCTGTTATCTGAACTAATAGAGGGACATAACGAGTATATACCACTATAGAATCATGTAAACGATATAAAAAGACCTTTCCTAAAAATTGTCAACTTCGTTCACAAAATCCAATATAATTACGTATAAATATAATTTCTCGAACTTGATTACGTATAAATATAATTTATTGTATTCGAACACAATGGAATAAAATATTCTCGAAACCATGAGTGTTCACCAAAATAATTCATTCATTTCAACACGATATAACATTTAGTTGCTCGTCCCTCGTATTCAAATATTGCTTTCATAAAATTTGAATTTGCATAAACATCCACAATCAAATTATCACTAAAGATTTTCCACACTTCCGGTTTGTAGTATACAATTCATCCCCTCAATTTCTATGTACTACGAGATCCAAGAATTGTCCTTACCTTATCAGTAGTCATCGATGATCACTTTCAATCTGTCCCAAAGGTGTCTCGTTAAAGTTCCTCAGGAACGTGCTTCGTTAATGGTACGTCTCGTTATCAGAGAACACGGATAACAGAAGATTGCACGGTGATTCCGAAAACGGAAGAGAAAGAGTGAACAATTAAGCGAATCAACAGGCCTTTGCAAGTGTCCGCGCGTGTATGCCTTGTGTGTGTGTCCGCGACAGAGTGACGAAACGAACCCGCGCGAGGGGCCAGCCGTAAGTAACATAACCTAATTTAGTTTAGTCGAGGGAACGCTCGCCGTCGTTAAGAAAATTCGTGCGCGTGTTCGCGGCAAAGGAGAAAGAGACTCGATTGTCCCGGGGTCGTTTTTTCGAATCACGGCGTGGCTTGTGTTTTCCAAGGAACGAGTGCAAATGCGTGTGTCTGTATGAGAGAAAAAAACCGAGAACGAGTGGTGCATGAAGTTCGAAAGTCCTGTCGTTGATAATTCGTCGATTCGTCGACGGATCCTTGACAATTCGTTCGGTAAATGCGTTTTCTTTTAGGTTCTCGGGTCGCGATCGATGATTTTAAGCGAGATTCCCAGGTTCGCGTCGAACGAATCTCACTATAGTTCGTAAGATTATCGGTGAATTAACGCGCGAAAACAGCGACGTCCTTCGGGCGTCATTTACATACAGATTTAAATGAAACAGCCGCAAACTGAACACACAACTACACATGTACACATACACATACACACCTATCAATGTTTGGAATGTTGGGATTTGTTTAAATAAATAATTAAAGCATTCAAAGCGTAAGCATTTGGTATTTCGATTGTGTTCCCGGTTTACGTACACGCGCGCCTTTCTTAACCTGTTAACTGAGGCCGTTCGACCCGTTCGACGAGTAAGAACGCTATCTGCCGGCGTAGTTGGAAATCTACAGGGACGAGATTTAATTGATGAAAGGTAAAACGAACAAATTACTCACCTGGAAAATAATATAATTTCACAGGTTGGCGAGAAAAATGTCACAACTAAAAAATTTTCGATTTACATTTTATTGTGTGAGATATTTTATAATTTGTAGATAAGTCCAAGGAACTGTCATATCGATATTTGACTGTTGCAAATCGATATTTGATATTGCAAAATCGAAGTTCGATATTTCAGTTGAGATGGTGGCACTAGTGTCACTTTGTTTAATACGTAGAATGCTATCCAATG